TATTGATTGAAGAATTTTTTAATATTATTTAATTAAATATTAACAAACGATCACGCTATTGTGGTCATTGATAGTCAATAGTCAACAACCGTCCTAACTCACTCGAGATCCTGAATCCGTCACTGATGGACGAGATCATATAATAATACCCACTTCCAACAAATAGTGGAAGTATAGGTATAGCCCACATTCAACTAGTTCACAAGCCTCCTGAAGAAAATTAATCCTTAACACAAACACACACACACACAAGCTTTTAATTAAATCTTCTACATAATTGGCTCTAATATCTAAATCTTCAAAACCCCACATTTTGAAGGACACTCGTCGATTAGTTCTAGATACCAGAGTTACCGTTTTCACATATAATTTCTGCATTAGTTTTTGTATATTTTAAATGTCAATATTCTAAAATACTAGCAATGATCAAATGGTCCCTAAGACATAATTCTAGACTGCTATAAATAGCATACAAATTGATAACATCTTACATTAATATAACACTGAACTATTAACAAATTAACATCATCAGTTCACAATTATACAAAATTAGAAATTGAACCAAATACAGAATTAACAAGTTAAGGGTATAAGATAGGTAAATTACCCCAGTGACTTTGACGTACTGCCCATCAGCGGCTCCTCGCAGCTCAGCATCCGGGTACTTCTTTAGAAAACTTAGAATTCCCCGCTTTTTGTAAGCATAATTCCATATTAAAACCACCACGACAGGGACTAAAACTGCCACCACTGCAACCAAAATCACTGGCTTCTTCACCGCTGCCATAAGGAACGCACCCACCACCAAGCCCATAACTACAACCACCAAGGACACCCACATTGCCACCCTCGAAACCTTGAAGCTCAATTTCACCTCCTCCCCCAAGCTCGTTACTGCCGAGCCGTACAGAGCTTTATTAAACGAGCTATGCCCGGCGGACGGACTGTCCAGCCTGCCCGATCGGCGATTGGAGCTGGAGGAGCCCAATGGGCCGGAGGTAATGAGGCCCGTGGGCTGAATCGGCGTAATGGGCCCTGAGAACGAGGAGGAAGAAGACTTCTTGTTAACTGGACCAGAGTTTGGGCCGGATCTAACAGATCCACTATTGTGCTGAGAAGATGAAGATTGCCGGGAAGGAACTTTAGGCGGAGCCAGCGGGTGGTCCCCACTTGATAATTCTATTCCGTACATTTTTCCTAGGTCGCCGGATTTCTTAACATCACCGCCTGTGTAGGGAACGGCGCGTGAAGCCACTGTCGGCTGGCGCTCCTTAAGCAGCTGTTCAGGTCGACCCGAGACGTAGAGTCCATTGCTTAGCTGGTGCGACCCGGTTCGAACGTTCATTTCAGTGCGAGAAACTTGCTGAACTGAGAGTTTGCAGAAAGAAAAGATGGAGCTTTTAGTGCGAGCATAGGTGGGAGAGGTTGACAAATGACGAGAAAGGGACTTCGATAGTAGTGAAATGACGTTTGTGTCCTTTGTCTTTTTCTGTGACTCGCTGTCACTGTGTGTGTTGGGATTCGCACGGAAATTAGTTTAGGTTGTTAGTTGAGTGACGTCAGCAATTTAATTTTAATTGCAATTATAAATTTATAATTCACTCAATCCATTTGTACAGAAGAAAATTTCACAGAAGATTGTTAGAATACTCTCATGTTATAGAGTCCATCGTAAAAAAAANAATCAAAATATGTTACTTTTGAAGTTTTTAAAACATTGATGTTGAAATTCGTGTCACAATTATTTGGCACATCGACTCCCACACATAGTTAAAAAGATGTTAACGAGCAAAAAAAAATATTCGAATTTAAATCTTTTTATTGTACGTAGTTAGTTTGAATCGGTACCAAACACACATTACTTATAACTTTTTAGAGGTTAACTTATAGTACGTAGTTATCACTTTCAAATCCTACAATTAAGAAACATAGGTAGGTGGTCTTTGGCTTTCTGAAGCTAAATATATAAATATGTCATTGCATTTGGTCCCGTGTAAATATACTATACAATCGAACTCCATTTATAGTTTTAGGACCACTCTCACATACGCCAGCCTTGCAAGGTAATTTATATATATATGGGTATTTATTGACAAATATAAATGAATAGTTTAGAAGTTGACGGTGCTCGTAAGTTTTATAAAATATGTGAATAAAAAGTAATTTGATCAACGTGTTTATAAAATACCTAGAAATAATGGATCAATTAGAGGAGGATAATAATAATTAAACCTTATTCTCAGCGGAAAGTTCATATATAAAAAAGAATAGAAATATAAAATTTAAATTGTAATGACATAAAAGCCTACGTGTTCAAATGGTTATATTATACATATTATTCATGCGAAATAAGATGGACAGATACTCTTTCAAAGTGGACAACACATATGATATAACGGCTAGGACATAAAGGTCGAATCGTTACATAATTACTGATGAATAAAGATATTTATACAAATTTTGTTGACAAAATGGTATATTCACTCTCACAAAATTAGCGAACCCCACATGAATTTAAAAAATGTCGACTTGTGGTCCTCACCCCATTGTGAGTAGTGAGTAAGGGAGTTTGTAAAAAAAAAAAATTGTACATGTAACATGATCCAATTACTAACTCTCAAAAATTTTCCTCATGAATCAACTATTGATTAAAAAAATAATTCGACCGCTGTGATACTAAACATAAACAAGTAAAAATATCTTAAATTACCAATGAGATATTTTGTCAATAACTTCTTTGAAAAATTTTAAAAATTGTCAATTACACCTTGTTCACCAGGAATATGCAACTATATCACTTTGTGTGATTGTCGAGGATATTGGCATTGCTAATTTATGATAGAAACTTGTCGATGATTCTTGACAATAAACTTGTGGATGATAGAAACTTGTCGACTGTTACCTGATTCCCATCAGATTCATCAATCGTCCGTGAAATTTCAAGTAGTAATCCTTTGATCAATTTATTTTTATTATTGTTAATTTTTAAAAGACCACCATAAATTGTGGCCAGATATCATTTAATTGAGTTGGAATTGAGGTTGAGTTTTCGGGTCTTGGGAGTGTCTTTGGAAGGGCTCAATGTCTGCTCAAGAAAATCAAGTAATATCCAAACGTGCTAGAAGTACATCAAGTGAATGATCAAGCGGCCTGTCTACCGAAAGAAATTCTAATTTGTGATTTTTGGCCTTTAAACAATCCCAAACAATCTATAACTCTCTAATACTATATATACCCAATCAAAATCCATCTCTACGGGGTTAAGCAAATTATTCATTGAAGAGAAAGATCATATTGAAGAGCATACAATTCATTCTATAATCCTATTACCTCAACCACAAAATCAAAATATTAAAATATCGAAGTACCATAAAATTTTCTAAGCATTATATTTTACTTTGATGTGGAAACGTAACAACATTATTTTTGTGTGTTTATAATATACCAAATATCTTTCGGAGTTCTAAAGATTTTGAAAGACGATTGAAATTTCGGTTAGTGAAGAACGAGCTCGTTCTTGATGATCCACGAAGGGAAAAGAAGTCTAGATGGAGGCGGCGCCGAAACGCACTGTTGAGGAGTTATTTAGCCTATCATTGAGACAAAAATAAATATTTTGATCAATAATCTATTACCAAATACAAATAATTAATTAATACTCTAATTTCTTAATCCGATTGTTGAGACTTCCATTTGTTTTTGTTCGTATTTAAATTCTATTGCTCGATGCATATGGTTTTCCTTTTCTCACTAGTCACTAGTAAAGCATGAAAATCTTTTGCCAGTGGTGTCGAAATGGATGGGCCGGTTCAAATCGACCCATCCAAGTTGCAAACCGGAATGGCCTATTACAATTATTGAACCGGATCGTTCCAATTAGGAGGCTGGATGTATTGACCCGGGGGATTGCTCGTGACCCGAGAAATTGAACTAGCAACAGTGCAACACTAAGGCATATAGGAAGGGAAAAAAGGGTTAAACTATGTTTTAAAACCGAAGATGACTTTGTTTGAAAAATCTTTCGAGAACTTGTCAAAGCGGATCGTTGACACCCGTGGCGAGCTGTATAGAATGTTTTTTTGAGCAACCAAAACAATTCTATATTTTTCTGCCCAAAATATTTCCTTTTTAATTTTTTATCAGCAACGTGAGATGGGTCACCGAATTAATTTAAAATGAGCCAAAAGTGTCCAAAAGGATTAAACCAAAAAGGGAAGAGTTCACAAATCAGGCTTTAAGTATGCATAATTCAAAATTCAGATTACAAATTTTATTAATGCAAAAATCAGGTTTTGATTAATTAATTAAAGATATTTATTAAATAACGATAATAAAGTCGCAGTTATACGAATAATGGTCACAGATTCACAACTATAGGTTATAGATTTATTTACTGATCACATGTTATCAAATTAGTTGGTCACGAATTTTTTCGAGGTCACAAATCAAAATTTTCGTAGGTCACAGATAAAAAAATTATAGGTCACAGTCACACATTTTCAAATTTGGTGATCACAAATTACTTTTTTAGTCACAAAATAATCAAATATCAAGGTCACATAGTTAGTCACAGAGGTCACGGACGCCAAACGCTCGATCCCGATCCGCCACAATACTTGGTCACGAACACTAACCTCGGCCACAACACCATCACAACCACCACCACCACTCCAAAGACCAACAAACATAACTAAATAAGTCAATACTAGCCACCGCACTAAGCCAAGCAAGCCACCCAATCGTCAGCAATGATAGGGATCGAACAGTAAAAGTATGGCAGGTCGATCAACCTCATCGTTGCACCACCGCCATCACCATACCATACCACTACCACCTGTTATTCTCACCAAACCGCACTGCTACCTAGATCCACCGCACCAGCTCACCCCTACCGTTAAGTGCACTACCGCCACCACCAAACACACCAATGATATCCAACCCACAACCTCACTACAGTATCCACTGCCAACACAATCGCCAATAGAAACCACTATACCCACCAGGACCACGACCACATTCAGAACCACCACGAAACATGCCCAATCATACAGCCCGTCGTCGACACCAGATTTATCACCGTCTCCCCAATCCAAATGCTGCACTTCCAAAGCAGCTTCCAACTCTCATTTCACCACCATCGCCAACCGTTAACCACAATAGTCGCCACCAGTTCACCACTAGATCTGCCACATTCAAAAAAATCCAAAATCGGGCTAGGACGTCAGTAGTGTTGCTTCGTGGGTAGAAAAGACCCCAAGCGCCACAAAAACCCCAAAAAACCCAAGCGCCCTAAGCTACGTTGAGGAGCTCACATCGTCGCTGTACAGGGAGAGCCCTCGCTGCGACGTTGCTCGCAGTGGCGATGCCACTTTTGTGCTGCAACTGTTGGTACATAGAAAGAGAGGGAGGTGATGTGGGAGTGCTGCTACGTAGTGGCGATGCCGCTTGTGTACTGCAACAGTTGGTCCATAGAGAGATGAAGGTGAGGCAAGAGAGAGACGGTGGGGGAAGAAAGTGAATTATGAAGATGAATTAGGGCTATGAAACCTGATTTGTGAATTATGAAAGTTGGTCCCTGATTTTTGAATTATACTCTTTAAACAACTGGAATTCCCAACCAAAAATCTGTCCAAGTTTTGTACACTTGATCTAGACCTTATCTAGTAGAACAGCCCAATCTGGGTTACATCACAAAACAATCCAGCAGTTGCATTAACATAACTCATTTCACATTATTTTTCTCGGACGTTAAGCAATCGAGAGATTAAGAGATCACAAATTAGAAGTGTATGTTAGCTATGCAGCATAAATCGTAGTAAATAATATAATGGCAAAGAAACATAGCGAAGTATTTAAGATATACACTAAGACCGACAATGGAACATGTGATAATTTACAATGTATGGTTCGTTCAAGAATCTTGAAAATTGAAAACCCACCTCACCAAGTACAATATGTGCTAGAGCATCAATACAAATAGTTAGATGGCTTCTACAATTCTACTCCATGTAAGCTAGGTTTTATACCTTCTAATTTTGACGTACTAACTTTAAGTATCATAGTAGAATGGATCAGATCATTCGACAACTAACACTACTAATACGTGTTATAATTGTTTTACAACTGTATCATCGTATATTTTTTTTCCTTCTTTGTACTTCATATTCCAGCAAAGCACTTTCACTAAAGAACGTCTTGATTCTTTAACTAGTAAAAAGCGACTAATTAAACCAAATTAAGAAAGTTCTTGACGCCATTAGATCATCACATTTTGGATGGATATAAATAAGCAAAAGTGCATTTACTTCATTACAAACTTTATCCGTGGAATCAATCTGCCACTCGTCTTCCTCACAAAATTAGCCACCTGTTATAACTTTATAAAATAAGATCAACCATTTTCCAATTTTATTGATAAGTACTTATATAACTTACCTTTTAGATCAATAAACTGATAAAGTGCTTAACTTTGTCCACTTAAATCAAGTTAGCATTGAATGATGCATAAGAAAACTGGAGAATTGGATTCCTTTGAGAAAAGTAACTGTTCTCACGGGACATCTCTGAAATCATCTTCCTCTCATGTTATGAAAAGCCAACCCAATTCAACAAATCTTTCCTTATTGGAAAATCTGAAAAAAGCTTGTTGATATATGATCCCTCCATTTCTTGTCAGTATTTTTCTTTAGAACCGATGTTCCTAAACCAGTTCATGCACTTCCTAAAATCAAATCACACTTTCAGAAGAAAAATAACTTTTGATTGTGTGTTTTGATAACTTTTTGTTAATTCTACGTACTATATTTGTGTATATATTCGATGGCTACCTCGTGCTTTAATCCATTTCGACTGCGAAAGTTGAAGAGCAAATCTTTATCAATTCCTTCTACTTCAAGAACACAGTTAAACTATGATGCAGTCAATATGGAGAGAAAGAGAGTTGACAGTTTGGAATCATGGTCAATGATATTGGATTCTGAGAATATTGAGACTTGGGAAGCATCTGGAGATCAAGAGGAATGGACGGCTGATCATTCTCAGTTATTTATAGGCAATAAGTTTGCTTCTGGTGCACATAGTAGAATTTACAGAGGAATTTATAAGCAGAGAGCAGTTGCTGTAAAAATGGTGAGAATTCCAACTCATAATGAGGAAACTAGAACTTTGCTTGAACGACAATTCAAGTCGGAAGTCGCCCTTCTTTCGCGTCTTTATCATCCCAATATAGTGCAGGTTAGATTTCCTTTAATCTTTCTGAATAATTAAAATTATACAATTTGCAGATCTTACCATCTTAGAGTTACATATTCTTTCTGTGCAGTTTATTGCTGCTAGTAAAAAGCCTCCTGTATACTGTATCATTACCGAATACATGTCACAAGGGACTCTAAGGATGTATCTAAACAAGAAAGAGCCATACTCACTTTCAACCGAGACGATTCTTAGGTTAGCCCTTGATATATCACGGGGAATGGAGTATCTTCATTCACAAGGGGTGATACACAGAGACCTCAAATCGAGCAACTTGCTATTAAACGATGAGATGAGGGTTAAGGTTGCGGATTTTGGCACGTCTTGTCTCGAAACACAATGCCGCGAAGCCAAAGGGAATATGGGGACTTACCGGTGGATGGCACCGGAGATGATCAAGGAGAAACCGTATACTCGGAAAGTTGACGTTTATAGTTTTGGGATCGTGCTATGGGAGCTCACAACAGCTTTGCTTCCTTTTCAAGGAATGACTCCTGTGCAAGCTGCTTTCGCTGTGGCCGAGAAGGTTTGATTTACGACTCCTATTTAAGCTTTTAGACGAAATGATTAATTCACATCTGACTCATTGAGTTACTTTCCATTTTTTTAGAATGAGCGACCGCCATTGGCAGCAAGTTGTCAACCTGCTCTCGCACATCTTATGAAGCGCTGCTGGGCAGCAAATCCCTCCAAGCGTCCAGATTTCAGTGACATTGTATCTGCTCTGGAAAAGTACGACGAGTGTGTAAAAGAGGGTCACCCACTTACTCTTCACTCAGGGTTAGCAAGCCGAAACGCCATTGTCGAACGCTTAAAAAGCTGTGTATCCATGAATTCATCTATACCTGTACATACCTGACTCTTTTGGACAAGTATTCACATTTTATTCTGCTGCTAATTTGGCTTACCAGAGTAGATAGATTGGTTTGTAGATAGTATTATGCTATTTGTACAAAGTGTGTTTACAAATTTAGTTGACAAAATAAGTGTTGGCAAAATCCAGGTAATTGATTTCCAATAATTTAAGAATCTGTTTTTGAAATGATTAGTGTAGATATTATTTTGTCAACCAACTTTGTACATATAGCATAACCCTTGTAGATATTCACTGTTTTCTATATTTTAGGACTTATAATCGGCAATAGTGATGAGTGAACCTTATGATCATGCTTGGTAGTATACAGTATTGTATAGGACTAAACAGGACACTGTTACAATACGTATATCAAATATTCTCAATGAATAAGTAATATGTTCATATGCTCATGGCATGATATGTTTATTGAAAGACTGTGTATACTAAAAGTTTTAAAACACCTTGTCATCATAGAATTAATTCTTTGATTGAAATTTTAATATATCGAATCTTACAAGCACCTTTGGACTTAAAAGTCTACCATCACTTTTTTCCATTATACTCTAATAAAATTAAAATGTCAAACCCTACATAAAGCAATCATATTAGTGTCCTGAAGTCATGAGGACAACATTGCTCAATGGATTGTAAACCTCTCCAATCCTAAATCGAAATTATTGCTACCGAAATTTTCAGAGACGGAGACAAAAAGATCCCTTCTAGACCCCCAATTTTGAAGGGGGACTGTTGGGGCCTGGGCAATGTGGTTCTGGATGAGGAGATTAACCCCCAAAAATTAACGATGTGAAAGTAGACGGTGTGCGGACCACACGCTAATCTGGACCCCAGTGCATTGCCCAAGTGATTAAAGTCATAATTAAAAGTTGAAATTTTGAGTTCTGTGATATAAAGAAAGAGTAATGCCATTCGTAATCGCTCACTACGGTAGTCACTCTACGTGGCATACATATGACATGCGATTATTTGATGCATTAATATGGTAATTTTTTTATTCATTAATACATTAAATAACCACCTGTCATGTGTATGTCACGTAGGGCGATTGCTGTAATGAGCGACTGCAAATAGCATTATTTTAAAAGAAAACAGTAGTTGATTCTTGACTTGCTCCCACCAAAATTTAATCATCTAAAGTAAGTTGTGACAAATGGGTTAGATTCCATATATCAAATAATGAAGAATCAATATATATTTATATTTTTTATTTATTCTTTTTTGTTAGCACTAAAATACGTATATAAGTTCTTTTTCCTTAAAATGTGTTTGTTCAACCAAACCGTAAATAATAGACTAGACTGGACTATACTAAAAAGTACTAGGAATTTTTTATAAAAAAAAAAATTTAATTTGGATTCTTTTATAATATTGACTTTTAAACTTTGTTAAAGAAAAGTAAGAGACCTACCTGCCTAAGAGTCTAAGGAAATACAAACGCCGAAAGTAGATTCTTGTTATCGCTCCAATAAAATGTTCAATTTTTGAGGAAGCAGAAGTTAAAATTTGATTTGAATTGTTTGACGAATTTAAAATTATATTGGACTTTCTATTGATTTGGTTGATCATTCTTGCTGCAGAATGAGTTGGAAATTTCCCATCTGAGTTCTGACTATTATAATAGCTTGCTTGTCAAAATATATTTTCCTGGAAGTTGCATCCGTTTGATCATTTATATTTATCAACGACTTCAAATTATTTCAAGAAAAGTCCATGACTATATTATGCTGCCAATCTATGAATTTCGAGTTTAGGAAGGCGAATTGTAAGTTATGTCATTTTTGGACTGATCTTAATCCTGCAAAACCAACGAGTCAAGCTATAGCAGCTCTATGCATCATTTTTGAACAAAGATTATCCTCAAGGATCGATAATATAAAGGGTCAAAGTGGCAGCATTGAGACCACGGATTTGACTTTGAATGCTTTATTAGGGATGACAAAAGGGTCGAGTAGTCCGTCGACTCCTTGACTCGGCTCATTGAAGTTCGGCTCATGGATGATTTGGGCTTGTTTTTGGACAAGCCTGACCAAGCAGGAGGTTCGTTTGACGAGCCGAGCAAGAGCTCACGAATGCCTCATGAGCCTTGGTTCACGAGCCCACCAGCTTGTAAAAATGTAAACAAAAAAGTCAAAAAAAGATTTTAAAAAAAATAAAAAATTCTTGGGCTTGTGGGGTAAGCTGAGCTAGGCTTGACTTGGATCTTGAGCTCACGAGCTCATGGGTAGATTTTGATGGATTTATCTACTTGTACAGAATTTTTTGCTCAGTGCTCACCTTGTTTACACATGCAGTGATGACATAAATGATTGCCAGCAAACATTGTTTTTGTTTGCCGACATTCAATGACAAAAGGCATGAGGAAAATGCTATGTATACACTTTATAGTGTACATAATGACTTACATCCCTTTCACATTGAGGGAGACCCACGAGACACCCTTTGAATATGAGGAGGGTGTAACATTGTATGTACATCATTACGTGCATATAGCATTTCACTCCTATCAAAGTACATAGAAGTTTTTTCTGTACATATAGCAAACTCCCCAGCCTGGTTACCCTGTCGACCAGGTCTCACTTCTATCACCTCGGTTTGCCGCACAACCCTCGCTGCAATTAAAACCTATCCACCCTTGTTTGAATTTACTATTATCATTATTATTATTATTATTTTATCAAAAACACTTTCCTCAAATTCAATTTTGCTCACATTTCTACAATAAAATAAATTTTACAAGTGAACCAATAATTTTTCCATTAGTTTTAATCATATATTAAAAAAATTAAATTAAATTTCACAAAATCACTCATCTCTACATAGAATAGAAGAAGATAAGCCCCCAGGGAACATCTCCAAATGGTAAAAGGGGAGGGTGGAGAAATCCAGCTTTATTTGAAGCTGTCGCGTCAAGGATTCGAATCCTGAAATATGGATCTGACTCTTGAGTAAGTGCAAGTGTACAAATAGCCTTCCACCCTGTATCCTTGGAGGCATAACCTGCGATTTACCTCCCTCACGATACTCCACCCTATATCCTTAGAGGCATAACCTGCGATTTACCTCCCTCACAATACTTCAGGGTAGGAACAGTGAGGGACCCTCAAAATTGGGGTTCAACCTTTTTTGGAAGAAGATAAAACCAAAAAAACTAGAAAACAATTATTAAAGATGGGCTGGCTGGCTATAATGGCATCTCAAAATGGTCGGTTAGTAGAATTCCATGAATGTTCACCTAACCATTCCAGAGTTGAATTCCCACAAAAATATAGATAATTAAGCTCAAACCAGATGGGCAGCAAAAAATGGAGAAATTAATCAGAGGACACAAATTATCTGCCCATAACTAATTTACATTGTGAATTAAACAGACAGTTAAATAAAAATGCTACAAAAATTAAAATAAAATTCTTTAACGAAAAGGGGATTAATTTACACCAACCAACCTTTTCAACTCCAAATGCCCCAAATCTTCTCTCCAAGAGAACTCACAAATTTTCTGACTGAACCATTCTCAAATTCTTCCTCCACATCATCCTCCTCCGCCTCACCGCCACCAGTCTCACCGCCAGCACTAGTGCTTTCCGAGGCCGAATTTGACTCCTCAAAATTGTTCTTAATCAAACTCGACCCAGACTTTTTCAACTCCTCAGAGCTTTGACCACTCCCTCTCACACCTTTACCCTTCCTCCTTTCCTTCTTGCTCTTATCTTTCTTGTTTTGCATCAACAGACTTTCTTCAAAAGCATCTATTACCTCGTGTATCAGCTGATGGTTAGGTGAAGAATCCCACTTTGCCCAGTAGCTCATGTAGCACCGGAAGCAGTAGCAGTTGAAAGAAGATGGGTGGTCAGCATCCACCTTTGCACCATCGGAGGAGGTGATGGCTGCGGAGGCCGTGGAAGTGTAAGTGGCAGTTTTCTGGGTTGCTTTACGATGGTTGTTTGAAAAGTTAGTAGAAGAAGGGCAAGAGATAAGATATGCCAAAACCTCTTTGTCATCCGGGGATAGAGCTACCGTTAAAGTCAAGATTGTCGCCGGTAAAAATGACAGCAGCCGGTCGGAAAACGGCGGCGTTGGATGAATTTTCTTGTATAGCTTCTTCATAACAGATGAGAGAGAGAGAGAGAGAATGGTTCCCTGTATATATTGATAAAAAGAGATTTTAAGGATCTATGAAGTCTTGGTTCTTGTTTGAGCCGCATTTTCTTTTCATTAAATATATTTTTCAACAATAATTTGATCACACTTTAATAACATATTTTTCTATAAAATAATATTACATATAAATTTAAAAAAAATTTAAATTATTTTAACAACACATTATTCATGAATATTTTATTCAAAAATACATTTTTTTTTGACAAAAATCTGTAAAGCCCAACAAGATCCCACTTCCCATTCCATCTCAATATTCATTTGTGGATTAGTAATGTCAATTAGTGAAAAAACGATTCAATGATCAAGACTTATTTTTGGCATCTTTTATGATGGTTATTTCCTATGACTAAGAATGTCAACGAGCCAGCTCGAGAGTCGAAATTTGAAGCATGAGTTTGACTCCAATAAAATGGTGCGAGCTTTTTTTCTGAACTCTAGCTGAGCTTTTGACTCGAGCCTTTCTGAGCCGAGCAAGGCAGGATTGGTCTTTTTTCAAGGGGAAAAAAAAAAAAAAAAACCTTGTTGCCTTCTACAAGGCAGTCGTGTGCGGCCTTTCGCCGCTTTTCCTTCTCTTCCTTTTTTTTTGGTCCATGAGCCCGAGCCGCATGAGCCTACTCAGGCTCAACCTATCCCCCCAAAATGAGGCTCAGCCCGAGCCTCGGCTCAATAGAATCGAGCTGGGGCGACCCAAATTAGCGAGTCAAATTAACATCCTTATTTGTGCCTCTTGAAAAGAATATACATAGTAAATGATGTAAACGGATTTTCCGGTACTTATTTATTACAGTGGACCCAACCGTCCCCGGATCTTCATCAATGTTAAAAAAGAGAGAAAGTAACAATAAAGTTGGCGTGAGAAATCATGGAAAAAAAGAGAGCAACAAATTGGATCCTTGACTTGATGTCATGGTCACATCAACGGTACAATGTGGTGCAATAACAAATTTGCCAACACTAAAATTTTGAGGTTCGAAAGCAATGAAGGTATCTTTGATACAATCCACTGTCATAAAATTTAAATGCTAACAAGTAACATCAATATATTATGACACGCTACAATGTAAGTGTTGTAAGACATATGATTGATACGCATTTCGAGACTGTCAGATCTTTAGGATGAACTCTGAAGACGGGATTTGATCCATGATTCTAAAGAACGAAGCTCTTCATTACTTATTGAGTGACCAAGACCCGGGTAAGCCTAAGAAAAGTAAAACCAGCCATTTCATTTATAAGCGTGTTTGATATGGTGAAAGAACATAGAGGATTGAAATATATTTTTAATAACAGAAATCAAACACGAGGTGCAGAGTGCTTGAATTAGTACCTTGAATTCGCAGCTCAAACCAGATTTTTCGATGAAGGGTGGACCTGCTTGCCCAGCTTCAAAGAGCACAGTTCTGTCAGCCATTCCGTGAGACCACAATATGGGTGTCTACAAACATATTTCCGTATATCAGATCCTTGATACAACAAAATGACTTCAAAACAATGGAAATACATGTCTAGATTGACAATGAAATTAAAGCTCTCGAAAAGACTGTTGACCTAAGGACGAGATTAGTAGGCAAAAAGGCAGGATTTGTCAACCAAGTCCCTAGCAAAAAAGGCATCTCTCATAAATATTCAAATGAAGTTATATATGGTCTGAGTTGGTTCCATCATAATCTAATAATTTTGAATGTTGGAAGCTGGGACTAATATAGATTTTATCATGCATTTCATATGCATCTCAAACAGTAGAGCCTCTGATGCAGGAGATTATTAGCATCCTCTTGACTGCAAACTTCAAAGGAACTTTATAGACCAAAAATACCCAACGACACTCCATCCACAAAACTTTGAATTTTCTTCCTATCAATGCTAGACCAGTAAATAGTTACTTCTTTCAATCTTGTAAGCTGGGACTAACATAGATGCTATCATGCATTTCATATGCATCTCCAAAAGACGTAGAGCCCCTGATGCAGGAGATTAGTAGCATCCTTATTTAAAATCTTGGCCGTAAACGAAACGAGGTTGGCTCGATTGGCATATTCAGAGTTCAAAGAGACTCCAGAATGCTTGGGGTCCTATGTAAAATTATGAACAAGTTACTAGAGGACTATCCAAATTAAACCACCCATATATAGAACCAACATGCCGTCATCCTAACATGCATCGAACTGTAACATCAAACAGAAAGAAGTTATAGTTCAGGGGAAAAATTAAAATGGAAGACATTTCAAGTATAGTAAGACATAACCTTTTTTGCATCCGGTGTAACCCTCTCTAGAATGGAAGAATTAAATGGAACCCATCCGCTAAACACCGCACCACCACCCAGAGTTTTTGGATACAGCAGAACACTTGCTAATGTCAAGGCACCTACACAACTTAGTAAAATTCACATATATGAGTAAAATCATCAAGGACGCTCATTTCCATTTGCATTAGGTAATTGGGTTGGGGGAACGAGTATGCACGCACACATAAACACGCACGCACGCTCGCGCACAGAGAGAGAGAGACCTCCTTGACTAAATCCACATAAGAAGACATTTCTAGGGTTGGTGCCAGCAGATATCTCTTTGTCTATCATTGCGTGAACATTTTGAACAGCTTTGAGCACACCACCTTCGTCTTTCGGAGATTCCTAACACGTGATAATAAATTACATGACATTTAATCAACATGTAATACAGGAAATCATTTATAAGCAGGGACCATATGCACGATGTAATGTGTATTTGCTAGCCCATAACATCTTGAAGATAAGCATTAGAGGTCTCAGGATTGAACATAATCAAATAATTAAGTATGCTGTCAAAATTAAAAAATTAGATAGGTGTGTATGTATATTCCATTGAATTAGTACACTAGTTTTAAGTTTCTTGCCATCTTCATTTTGTTCCAAAGTATCTCGGATAAAGTCAATTACAGTTGCTTACAAAGTGAAGGTAGTAAAACTTATCCAGCACCACAATAGAGCTATAAAACATCTCAAATAAGCAGATAAGATATAATATAGAGCTATAAAACATCTCAAATAAGCATTTAAAAATATAATATGGTGTGATATTCATAAAATAAACAAATCAAACGAAGCATAACTTACGGCCGTCACAGGAATTTCATGAATGTCAAACCATGAAGGCATGATAGCTCCATCTACAGAAAAAAAGTCTAAATTAGCAAATAACAAAAGTGATGCATGGGATGAACATAAGTTTGCAGATTCAGTTTAGAATCAAGATGAATCCATCAAAGATGATCTGCCTTAAGGGAATTAATTTCCCCAAGATGCATCTCAAATCTCAAATTTTTAGGTACCAAGCAAAAAAGAAAATCTAGGTTTTAAGTACTGCATGTAGCACGCTCGAAACTTTCCATTAATTGTAATGAAAGTATCATATTACAGGGGTTTAATAATCTACATACAGTATAGAAGATTCAAAGTGATGAAATAAGTGAAAGGAGGCATGCATAAAAAATTTCTTCATTTTGTACGGAAGTTTCAACACACGGGAACTGGGGGGTAGACACCTTACAGTTTAAAACTAAAACCTTTAGTTTAAAAGAAGCCCGGTGTCGACACTCTTGGCTAAAGTGTTGACATATGAGCTACAAAAACATTTTCATAATTAAATAACTGTCCAATGAAGACACCTGCATCTCCGACTGCAACATCTGTGTTGGAAAATCACATATTTTCATGCGGCAGCAGGGACGGAGGTGGGGGACTACCCTCCCAAGGCCCAAAAAAAAAATTTTTGTTAAGGCATTTTTCATTTTTTCCTGTAAAAACAGTTTTTTTATGTGTAAATTTTTTTTTTTCCAAGTATTAGCCCAGCTTGAAATTTTGTAGCCGGGTCTTGGATCCAATCCTGGATCCGTCCCTGTGCGGCAGGTACATTAAGTTTGAATTCAAGGCAGGAAGAACAATATACAGCATACTGCATATAAGCCCAGATTTCATAGTACAAGGAGGGATAGGGGTTTACCAAACGATATGATAAACTCAAAACCAAAAACTACACTCTGTCTTATTTTAAAGTAACACATCTACTTAACACGCCTACTTTACATACTTTAAAATAAGTAAACAAACTACAGCTTGACTGGGAATTCCATATACAAGTATTCAAAAGTTCGAATATTGTAATGCTCGACGTGATAATAGGTATGTACAAACCGGGATACCGAACGTAGTACCTCCAAGTATCAACTTAAGCGACACTCATACATCACATTATTTCATTGCTATATGAAATTAGACATCAACATCATTTTGTTGATTTCAATAATAATTCAAATAATTTCTCTTTAAATCTAAACAATGGAAATTAAATCCAAATTATAATATGAAAAATAACATGAATGTTCGAGGTGTTACAATAAATCCATCAACACTTCAATAAAATTAATTGGAAACAAGTAAATGATAGCAATCAAGTTTGAAGGAAAGTCAAATAGTCTCGAACCTCTTTACATTCGCAAGACATTGTTTTCAGTCTAGTGCATAGCCCTTTCACCGTGCTTCATTCTGTCCATTTCGTATTTGTTATAAACCGCACGTGTTTTGTATATATTCCAGTTTTGTGCATAGCCCTCTTACTGTGCTTCATATATGGTTTCATTTTAAATGCATTAAAAACACGATTACATGAATCTACATATCATGCCAACGAAATAAGCAACACGAAATTCCTGTTAGGCCTGTATCAATCTATTGTTCTCGTGATTCACCAACAAAATTGTATCCTATTACTCGGTACAATTCAGATATAACTCGAAATGCAAATTTCTAATAACCAGTAACCCCCAAAACATCACAAAAATTCTAGTTTAATGAATCAACCTCTGAAATTAACAATTATATTAAACTTATTCATAGATATCCACACGGACATTCACTCTAAGAGAACAAGCATATCAATTATGAATTATATATACAGCTCTTGTATCTAATGCAACTTACAATTACAGGTGACTAGGTTAGAAGGGGCAGAAGGGAATGACCATTTGGTGTTTTTGAATTCCGGGGAGGTGAAGAGGGTCTTAATGGGTTCGTTGGCCGGGCCCGAATCGCCGAGCCCATGGAGCCACAACACGAAGCTTCGGGCCATGGGATCGGGCTTGGAGATGGGTTTTGGTTGAGAGAGTAGGATGAAAGAAATAGTTATACCGATGCTGACCGTGATCAAAACTATCGGCTTCGCCAACACTTCGGTGGACTTCATTCTTCATCGGCGCCGTTTAATGCTATCTGCCTTTTATTAAAACGCGACTTTAAGTAAAAGGCGTGGAAAGCTTATCTAAGAGTCCGTAAAATCGCTTATCAAACCCGGAAAATAAACATATAAATTTCATATATCACATTATTTCATTGCTATATGAAATTAGACATCAACATCATTTTGTTGATTTCAATAATAATTCAAATAATTTCTCTTTAAATCTAAACAATGGAAATTAAATCCAAATTATAATATGAAAAATAACATGAATGTTCGAGGTGTTACAATAAATCCATCAACACTTCAATAAAATTAATTGGAAACAAGTAAATGATAGCAATCAAGTTTGAAGGAAAGTCAAATAGTCTCGAACCTCTTTACATTCGCAAGACATTGTTTTCAGTCTAGTGCATAGCCCTTTCACCGTGCTTCATTCTGTCCATTTCGTATTTGTTATAAACCGCACGTGTTTTGTATATATTCCAGTTTTGTGCATAGCCCTCTTACTGTGCTTCATATATGGTTTCATTTTAAATGCATTAAAAACACGATTACATGAATCTACATATCATGCCAACGAAATAAGCAACACGAAATTCCTGTTAGGCCTGTATCAATCTATTGTTCTCGTGATTCACCAACAAAATTGTATCCTATTACTCGGTACAATTCAGATATAACTCGAAATGCAAATTTCTAATAACCAGTAACCCCCAAAACATCACAAAAATTCTAGTTTAATGAATCAACCTCTGAAATTAACAATTATATTAAACTTATTCATAGATATCCACACGGACATTCACTCTAAGAGAACAAGCATATCAATTATGAATTATATATACAGCTCTTGTATCTAATGCAACTTACAATTACAGGTGACTGGGTTAGAAGGGGCAGAAGGGAATGACCATTTGGTGTTTTTGAATTCCGGGGAGGTGAAGAGGGTCTTAATGGGTTCGTTGGCTGGGCCCGAATCGCCGAGCCCATGGAGCCACAACACGAAGCTTCGGGCCATGGGATCGGGCTTGGAGATGGGTTTTGGTTGACAGACTAGGATGAAAGAAATAGTTATACCGATGCTGACCGTGATCAAAACTATCGGCTTCGCCAACACTTCGGTGGACTTCATTCTTCATCGGCGCCGTTTAATGCTATCTGCCTTTTATTAAAACGCGACTTTAAGTAAAAGGCGTGGAAAGCTTATCTAAGAGTCCGTAAAATCGCTTATCAAACCCGGAAAATAAACATATAAATTACATTTAGTAATTTACTACCCTATAATTCAGTCTAATCCCGCTCCTACGTGTATTTGACTTAATGTTATTCATAGTCAACGATTGCATTAGTTATCGTATGTAATTGAATGTTATTTGAGACATTAATTTTCTATAATTCTGTTGCCTTGAATAACAAACTGCCACAAATGAATGCCTATTGGTGTTCTAAAAGTACCTTTCCGAATTCCTGGAGAGGAAGATGCATCTTGGGTTGATGTATAGTGCGACTTGTCAGATATATTAGGTCATATGTGATTTCCCCGTTCTCTCCCCCGATCGAGATATCCTCTATTTTGCCCAAGAAAGATAAATTGAATCATCGAAAATTTGGAGTGTGAAGCACAATTAGATCCATTGTCTGGGGGGATTCACATTACTATTATCAATTAGAATAATTTATGGTTGGCTTAGTTGGACTAAAAAATAACATTACTCTAAGATAACTAAAGTCCTTAGGACTGTAAGCAAAAATCGTCAAATCGAAAAATCGAACCAAAATCATATTTTAGAAATTGATGATTTGGTGTCACGTGGACCCATCAACGAAATAATTTTGAACTAAACCAAACCAATCAAAAACGATTTGGTTTAGGTTTGAGAATTTTAATTGCGATTTAAAACCAAATCGGACCAAGGAAAAAATATATAAAAATAAAAAATAAAAAAATGAATTTTTTTTTAAAATTCATCCAAATATGTAAAATTCAATAGTTTTGTGAATTTTGTCATTTGTGAGTATTTTTGTCAATTTTTAATTTTCTATTACATATATATTATTATTATTATTATTATTATTATTATTATTATTATTATTATTACCCAATAATCCTAATTAGTTGTTGTTGTTATTATTATTATTATTATTGTTGTTGTTGTTGTTGTTGTTGTTGTTGTTGTTGTTGTTGTTGTTGTTGTTGTCAAGTTCTAATTTTTGTTTTGGGCCCAGGGCCTCAAAAGCCATATGAACTCCAAAATAGAAAAGATGAAGGATTTGGTTTGAACTATATTACTTAGGAGTTCATTAGGTGCATGAATGGTTGAGGATATATGCAAAAAGAATTGGTTGTAAACTAAGAAGGAACCTATAGTGCTGCACTAATATTTAGATGAAGTTGAAGCATTGAATGATTCAATGAAAGTTGTGACAAGTGATTTATATTCTCTATTACCATATTTTTGGAGATTCTCTTATCTATCTAACATCTAGTACTATGATAATGTAATGAATGCATTTGTTTGACTATGTACACAATGTATCATGTGTGACAACAATTGATATTTGAGTATGTGTGAAAAACTGAGTTCGTAACATAATACAATCGTAAGCTTGTGTAATGTATGTTTAAATATTATTATAAACAATTGTTTTATTATTGTGGTTAGTTATTCTCTCGGTGTAATCAGTAACATTTTTTCTTGCAGATATAATGATCACGGCTTGTTGGACATCATTAATATTTTTGGTCTTATATTTAGTTTAGTAAACTTTTATTATAACGTTATCGTAACGTCATTAGCCCAAAAATGGGAAACAAAAAAAATATGTTTTAGTTTATTGTGATTTTACTTTGATTTAGTTGGTATTTTAAATTTATATTAAATATATTTAGTTTGTTTTAGATTTATTGCTATTAAGATATAAATATATATTGAATTCAATGAGCGTAAAAGTTATGAAGGAATATACAATATCCAACATTAATGTTTAAATTATGAAAACAATAAAATCCTATGCACCAAGTTCCAAACGTCATTCAACAATATCCAATATTAAAATAATAAAATAATAAAAATAATAAACTAAAATCTGGAAATCAAAATAAAAAATTATGGTACCTCAAAGAAAATAAGGGTATAGATTGCAATGCCTCAACAAGCATAAGCAGGTTGAATTTAACTTTTAAGCAACCTGCTGCATGAAAAGCCAAAGAAAAAATATAGGTACTTTGCGAGTGCTATAAAACACGCCAGTGTTGCTGGAATTCACTCTTGTCAATTGGATTGTCTTTAATTTTCTCTGCCTTTTTAAGTTGGATCCACTTTGACCATCAAGAGTCTTTTAACCCAAACTCAAGTCCAGTGTGCTTTCATTCAGATCTTGCCGTCCAACAGGATTAATCTGGAGGCCCTGATATAGGAGCACAATTGAAGAGTTCAATTACAACGCTTATCCAAAACTACTACAGCGGCTTATCTACAGATATAAAGATTTGGAAGCCAAGAGATCAATGACGTCAATATGCAGAAAAAAGAGCTGGAAATGAAAACAATAGACAAAGGGTATCCGTCCACATGGATGCCATCAACTCTCAACAGATACTCTTCTCCCTCAACCAATAAGTTGACCTCTATTGTGAATCTTTCCACTAAAAAGAACAATGTTCATTCGAAAAGGAAGATCAATTAAGTAATCAAAAAGTCATGTGCAAGTTAAATCACCTGACTTTCATCCATTGGTACATCATTAATGTCAGGCTTTACTAAACGGCCATCAGTCTGGGAGGTTCCATCCACTGTATTTGTGTCAGTTTCAATTGGTTTAGCTTCATCCTCAGTCTCTTCTGAGGACTCATTCTTTTGTTCTACCAGCAAGGCAATCTATTTCAATCATTCCAGAAACAGATATGTTAGCCAGTGAGTTGAACCGTGCAGATTTTTTGATATTTCCAAGTAAACGATGAAGTATGTTAAATGTAAATATGGGTGAGATAATAGCATAAAGCATTTATCAAACTGAACCTTCATAACATTTTCAGTTTTCAGCAGTATAAATATCAAATCAATTAAAAGAATATTGAAATTCCTTCAAACTCATAAAATCCAATCCAAGTCAGTGAATGGATCATATGATTTCCCAACGGATAAGAACATATATTATATATGCTTTAAAGTTGTCAAAATTTTACGGGGTAGGAGTGGCGTGTGGTGGGCAATGCATATACAAAATACTCTTCCAGAATTCAGTCTCATGCTTTACTTCTCACTGCCTCTATGGATGATGAGAATTGAAATCAATAGAATCCAACTCTCAAATCACTCATGATGACAAGACAATTGCGCTATATGACCATTGACCAATATATGGAAATCCCATTACATTTAAATAAGATTTGACTAAGTCATGGAGATAAATATCGAGTTTAGATAGGATTTTCATAGAGTTTAATTCAAATTAGGTTTGTTTAAACTATATTAAATTAGTCTTAAAAATTCGAAAAGTTTTAGTTTATTATAAGTTCTTTGGATTTTAGCCGATTTACTCTATATAAAAGTATTACCCCTAAATATATGAATAATTGATTTTCTCTTTGCCCTAATTTCTTCTTCTTAAATCCCCTTTGCCATTCTTGATCCTTTTTCTATTTTTCGTTGTCAAATTGGTATGTTCCTGCATCACTAAAGCACCTAAATAGCTATGCAAATTAAAAACAATTGTGTGGCAATTACATTCAGATCAAGAGCAATCAGCTAAGAGAATAATATTATATAGGGCATACACAAAACTCTAAGACCTTAAAACAATTGATAAGCAAAAAACCAGAGACAGAGTTCCATTAATATTCGGTAATAACATGTGCTGTTTACAAGAGTACATTAACCTCATCATACAGAGCGGTAAATATTTAACAACGAATCTTCCTATAACATTTGTAATTAGAATAGCCTCGCGATCCAGACCTTGTATGCTGAGCAGAGAAAGTAGTATTAACAAACTACAAACTACAGATTCTTAGCTGAAAACTATAGGCGAGTAGAATAGGCAGAGTGGAGACGTGATAAAATGAGTGCATCATTTTGAAAAAATTAATAATTCAGCCCTGCAAACAATTTTCTCAAATTTCAAGCACAAGATTCTCCAATGCAGGCTATCCTCAGACATGAAAATCCCATAAAACCCAACTGTATGGATATTTTAACCCATAAATATAGCCTAGTGAGTACTTGTTGATGTTGCTCTATATGTTCAATTCATGTTCTCTTTTGACAAAAAGAATAGCACATTGACAAGGAAAGAAGTGAAATATTCGTCCTACCCTGTGCATCTAAAAACACCAATCATTAACCTTGAAAATTTTAAAATTTAAATCAGGTTCTCAAGAAAATCAGCTCACCCCAAAAATTACTAAATCGTGCAGATACCAGAATTCCTCCGAAGACCCTGGGATCAAACCTTCCAAACACTCCAGTCAAAGTTATTCAATTCCCTTGTGAAAGAAAAACCCAAAAACACCGTTCACTTTTTATCTAGTTCAATAACCCTAAAACACAATTCATCATAAAAAAGATTGTGATAATCACCCACAGCCCACCTAAATTCAACCTTCCAAGGTAAGAAATCCAAACCTAACAGACCGATTAAAGACATTATATACAACGGAAAGCGAAAAATCAAGTTATTAAGTCCATAAGAAGTGAAACGACAGGAAAAGTACCGGAATATACTTGAATTTACGTTTGGGCGGCTCCTTTACAACAATGGAGTCGTCTATATTGGAATTCTTGGTGTCATCATTGCCGTTACTGTTATCGCTGCTGTTAGTATCATTACTGTCTTTCTTTTGGCTGTGAGTAATCGGGGTCCACTTGTAGAGCAAGAGGTGGGAGGAGCCATTACTGCCATTAACGATGCCGTTTGTTGCCGTTTGGTTGGAATTGGAGGGCGGCACATTGACCCACTTTTTCTTCCATTTACGGACTGGCCCCGTGAAGACGGTGGCAGTGGCGGGGCCGTATCTAGATGAGGACCGCCCGAACCTAGCCCCTACTCCCTCCATTCCTCAATATAAAGCCTGATGTGGCGGATTGCTGCGGTGATTCTTCCGATTGGTTTTTGGTGCTGTGGAGGAATATCTTAGGGGGAAATATCGGTTCGAACGTAGAAGAGCGTTTAGTTTCTCTCTCTGGAAAGAATTTTTTGTTTACATTTGGCGTTAACGCAAAGTAACAAGATTGGACCGCCTTCCAGCCATCGATGCTGACTCTTCCGTGATTGGAGGCTGATTTTTTTTTTTTTTTTTCTTTATTATCAGTAAAGTAAAAATTTTGATGGAAAGAACATTCTACTCCTTAATTTTTACATTCAATATTCTTAATTGGTGTATTTTTGACATTTCAAAATAGGAAAATAAGGCTGCTAGTTCTTTTTTATTTTTTTTTTTTGGGCCTTGCAGCTGGAGCTGGCTGAAGCATAGACCAGTGTTACAATGTTCGAATTTTTCATTATAATTTGGGGGAGTAAATTTAACCAATAATCACTGAATTTTAGACTTGATTACTACTTGCTCACTCATCTTTCACATATTACTGAATGCTCACTCATCTTTTCATATAATTACTCATTCACCACTCGTCTCTTCAAATAATTGGGTTACTTTTACGATAAATTTTCGACAACTTCCGACCACAAAGAATGTCGAATTTTGATACCGTTGGAAAGCCCACGATGTCCTCTTCAATTACCACCCAAAATCTCATTATAACTCCAAGGGATTCGATCGAAAAATTGCCTTAAAAGTCGCCCAAAAATTCTGAAAATCTGCCCAAATTTTCAGATTTTTTGGGCGACTTTTAAGGCAATTTTTTGGCAACTTTCGACCATCAAAAATATCTAATTTTGATACCATTGGAAAACCCACAATGTCCTCTTCAATTACCACCCAAAATTTCCCAATAACTCCAAAAGATTCGGTCGGAATAAACCCACAAAGTCAGCATCTTGAAAAGGCGAAAATCTGGACAAAGTTCGAAATGCTGACTTTGTGGGTTTATTCCGACCGAATCCTTTGGAGTTATCGGAAAATTTTTGGTGATAATTGAAGAGGACATTGTGAGCTTTCCAATGGTATCAAAATTAGATAGTTTTGATGGTCGAAAGTTGTCGAAAAATTGCCTTAAAAGTCGCCCAAAAAATCTGAAAATCTGGGCAGATTTTCAGAATTTTTGGGCGACTTTTAAGGCAATTTTTCGATCGAATCCCTTGGAGTTATAATGAGATTTTGGGTGGTAATTGAAGAGGACATCGTGGGCTTTCCAACGGTATCAAAATTCGACATTCTTTGTGGTCGGAAGTTGTCGAAAATTTGCCGTAAAAGTAGCCCAATTATTTGAAGAGACGAGTGGTGAATGAGTAATTATATGAAAAGATGAGTGAGCATTCAGTAATATGTGAAAGATGAGTGAGCAAGTAGTAATCAAGTGTAAAGTTCAGTGATTATTGGTTAAATTTACTCAATTTGGGGAGAATGGCGCCCAAAAAAACAGGAGCTAAAATTGTTATTTCATTAATATGTATATTATATATTTTTCTTCCTTATTATATATATTAAGAATATTACTCAAACTATTAATTTTTTTTATTTTTTATTTTTTTTTTTACTCATGCTTTTGAGATAGAGATCTTTATAGTTAAAAATACTATTATAAAAAATGTAATAAAATTTAAAAAAACAATTTCTTGTGGAGTTAAATTCTCATCAGTACAGGTCAAGGAAATGACCCCCTGACCTCTGATATCCATATAAGGGACACGACAAGCATAAATACCTTTATTTATAAGAAAAAGAAAAAAACGTGAATAGGGATTGGATTGATGATAAAATATATAAAATATGATTTTTCATTTTTGGCAAATATGGGTGACAAATAATTAACAAGTTAATATAATAAATGTTTTAGAATTTAGTAACAAGGTAGTTAAAAATTTATTTAAAAATTATGTTGCTTGATTTAACTGCGTCCTCTATTTTGTAAACTTTGGACATTATATGATTAGCATTTGGAAAATGAAGTAAATTATCTTAGTATTATATATGCAAAAAATATCGACATTCTAAGTTATAAACTTTTGAATACTTTATAGTTCATATTTTTTTAGAATGAGAAATCAAGATTCACAAAAAAATATAAAAATAAAAGAACATATTAAAATTGTCGACTCTAAAGATATTTTAATATGGAGAAAACAAAATAAAAATTCAAGTTCCGATAGGACCAAAAGTGCCCCTTCTTTCAAACTTTCAAAGAGAGGTTTATTTGTCTAAATGAAAATTAGCCCCCATTAAATTAAATTTTATTTTTCTCTCTTATTTTCAATCACACAATCTTCTATAAAACAATATTATACGTAAATCGAAATTTTTTCCTTCTTTTTCTACCACTCATTCTCTAAAAAAATAATATTCCACCCATTTTAATTTGATTAAATAGGGCCAAACGGGGTATAATACTAAAATAGAAAAAGGAGATAAATGCAAAATGAAAATTTTATGTTAAGAAATGATGTTTCTGAAATTTTTGAAAAGAGAGAGTCTTTATGTTACTGTCATAAACTTTAGGAGAGGTTGTTGTAATTTACTCAGTATTTATTTACGATCTACACTATTCAAGGTCACTTCGAGCACAAATTTATTAAAGAATTGTTGTAATCGAAAAAAAGAAAAGTTGGACGTACAGAACCCCTCTTCACAGGAGTTTTACATATGTGAGACATGAGGTGGGTCCCCCTCCTCATTAAAAAAGTACCCCTAAAAATCTCATTCCACTCATGTTTGTGTGTATTTTGGCAAAGTCCTATAGGCTTCGATTCTGTACGTGAAGCACGATTAATCGAAAAAATATGTCTGATTGTTTAGGTCTAACACACTTTAGGTACAATTCACACGAGGGTGGGATGATGCAAGATATATGATGAAATAGAAAAATATAATGCTAACATATAATTGTTAATTGAAAATGAATATCGAACAATGATCATGTTTTGCTCGTATCTAATTTGAGGGCTATAAACCTCTTTCCTCAGTTGACCGCTTTTCCCATAAAGGGTAGAAGCTCAAAATAAGTTCAAATTAGGAGTGTCAATTTGGCTCGTCGGCTCAAGTAACCAATGACTTACCCCGAAAAAAGTTTAAGCTGACCTGGCTTGAGACTCGGGCCTAGCCTCATTTTGGGGAATCGGCCCAAGCCCAAGCCAATAGGACCATTTTTAGCTCGACCCTTAAAAAAATGATAAAAGGCAGTGTGTTTTTGCCTTTTATAGGTAGCGAATAAAAAAATGAAGATTAAAAAAAGTGAGCCAGCTCGGCTTGATAAAACTCAAGCCTGGAATTTTTAGTTCAACAAAAGCTCGCCTCAATTTGGATCAAAAAAAGCTCGAGCCATTTTTACTTGAACCGAGCCCAAACATCAAGTTTTGGCTCCCAAAGTGGCTCGGTTTGATTCATTGACATCCCTAGCTCAAACATTGTTTATCATCATTCGATATGACATTTTGACATACAATTTGGAAGCATCCCTTAAGCGAACCACCCAATATCTTTCATAAGCAATTTGTAACTGACGTTACCGAAACTTATCGGACAATAGTTAGACACTCTATCCAGTTGTTGCTTTATTAAAAATCAAGACTATGTGTTGTCGGTACAACTCATCGGGTCAATTGACTTGCCATTTGTTGCTTTGTAACCATGCAGGTCCTAATGGTGTCATGGAAACCATTTTTGGTCAGGTGCCTCAATGGGTCTCACCCTCCTGTTTTCTCGAGCTCCTCTACCTCCTCCCTTGATGACTTGCCCAATCTCACTCGTATCGGTGTCGCCAAGTCCTCGGCTAAATGATTGGCGCTTTCAAAGTATTCTGAAACGGCACCAAGATCTCACCTTCCGACTCCCTCCCTACACCCGAATTTCCATGATTCCTAGAACTTCATTTTTCTTGTGCCTACTAGATGTCCTTTTATGAAAGTTTTGTACCATCCCATTCTTATCATCCACCCTCACAATATCCTATATTCTCGCTTATGGAATTTTTCTTTTTTGTTTATTTATTGCTTCGATTTTATTATATTGGATGATGCAAAAGACATTTTATAGGTCTAAATCATAATTTATAGAATAATTTTTTAATAATACTTAATACAATTAATAGTTTATCAGAGTACTTTCACTTCTTTGATCCTTCCAACTTTTTCACACATATTTGCACACAAACGATAATTTGTTGTTCAAATACACATCTGGACTGATCATTTAAACTGTAAAAGTATACGGTCAAAACTTTATTTATAAGCACTAAGAATCACACCTTATAAGACAATACAAGGAAGAATAATGATGCCTATTGGACTTATCTTTGATCCTTCCAACTTTTTCACATATATTTTACACATTAATGAAGTGGGTTATAAAAATAATATATACAAATTCGAATTTTAAATTAACTAATGAAGAAATGCCAATAGTTTGTTCCACATTTGAGGGGAGACCCGTGAACCCGACCCGGGTTCGGTATCCAATTGCAATTCACCCAGCTTAGAGTAGCACTCCGCTGTCCTTCAAAGCTGCGGCCAAGTTGCCTATTCTTGCACCATCCCGGCGAGCAAAATTTTCTCTGCAATAGAAAGAAATTTCCGGCACAAGCACGAACCCACTCGATCTCTTATCTGACAGAGCTTCACCGAAGTTTGATCCATTTCGGACAGGAATTTCATTAATTGTTCGTTTGTAAGAGCCAAACCACTTGGCTTGCATGTAGGCAAGTCGGCGCCACGGCGGAACGTGAATTTTCACGCGCTTCAACGACTTCTTCATCGCACTGCACATTAGCCTTACAATTTGCTTCAGTTCGTCTACTTGGCCAACAAAAACTGGACGGAAAAGATCGAGTAAAGAGGCGTAGAAGTCCGTTCGACGGGCTATTTTGAATTCTTCTGCAAGAAAAACTTCAATTATGTACCGAATCCCACCAACATTTACGTCAATGTACTCATAATCCCCAGATATGCGCCCGCCATTTTTCTCCCACTTTGATTTGCAAAGACCTAAGTTCAAAGAACATCATCGTTAAACACTAATCTAAGAGCTATTCAATTAAAATTACAGAGAAAAAAACTCACCGGCATTAAAGCCTCTAACGCGTAACCGAGACATTAACCGGCGTTTCAATTCCGACGAGCTGTAATCGCCGATTTCCTTGTAGGCCATTTCTACCTCAGCATGAATTCTTCTCCTAACATCATCATGTTCACATCCCAACACTTTTTTCAACGAATCTTTCAGTTCAGAATTGTGAGAATTGCTTTCCAATTTAATCTCATTATCATCTTTCTCTTCAATATCTTCTTCAGGTTCTCTTCTTTCTCTGATTTCTCTCTCTATAAACGAATTCACAAGATCAGACAAATCCGCTGAGTGCTCGCTGCCGCTGCTCTCATCACATGGCCTAATCCTAGCTCCCTCATTGAAAACTGCCGCTAGCCTTTTGAATTCCACAGGTATTTTTACCATTTTGATGACTTTTGGAAGATAATGATTGATGAATTGAAGACGACGATATATAAAGAGAGAAAGTTTACTTTTTATTTTGCAATGGACGATGTTGCCATCTTGTGGTCACTATGGTAAAAAGATGTTCACGTTTCGTTGAACAAGAGAAAATGAAATTTGTAAAAATGGAGTCATTGGGATCACAGATGAAGACATTATACGTTGTATATATGTATATATATACACACACATTTACTTGAGACTGCATATTTAATGCAGCATTTTTTCTTTATTTTGCCTCAAAATTAAGAGTCCACAAAGATGAATCTACCTAGAAAAAGGGCTATGTTCATTATTTAATTATTTTAGAGGATATTTGATGTAAATTTTTAGAGAATAAAGTTAATAGAAGTTGGTAGATTCCATTAATTGTGTGGTTAAAAATTAAAAAATTAACTAACTTTTTTTAATAAAAAGTAAAATTAAAATTTTAATATATTTTAATAAAAATGATTAAATGTGTGGTTGAAAAATTATAGATCCTATAAATGTGTAATTAAAATTTATTTTGTACTTTAACTTAAATATTACTCCATCCGTCTTTAATTATATAGGTTGGGTTTTCTTTTTCTCTTGTCTCAAATATATAGGCCTGTTTCATAATTTAGAATATTTTGTTTTGTTCATTTACCATTATACCCTTATTCATTTTTCCTAATTTAATATGCCAATTTTTTGAAATCATCAAAATATACATATTTCCCTTTTCTTGGAAACATGAAACAACTCTCTTTTCTTATTCTTCAAATTAAATTATTCAAATTCTTTATTAATTCCAATAATAATTTACTTCTACATACAGAAAGTTAAATATGGGTAAGCTAATAAAGATCTTGACAAAAATTAATTTTTCAATGACATTAAAGAAGATTTCTTAATCCATATGAAAAATGAAAGAAGCCTATATAATTGGGACAGAATGAGTAATTAACATTCTTAATTGAATAAAAGACTATTGAGTATATGTATCAAAGATGCTCTTAATTATTTTTGAATTTTTACAGCTGGATCTTTCATTAATTAATTGAAAGTTCCAAGTCTTAATTGAGCTCTGACCACTAAAATGGACAAGAGATTAATTGGAAGAAAAACTATCCAAAATCAATTTTTATACATCCACGAGTAGATTATAGAGTGCTAATAAATTACTTATTTTGTAATGTAATTAAGAGTTTGTTTGACAAAATTTTTGAAAAGTCAAAATTTATATTTAAGCCTAAACCACTGTTTTTAAAATTATTTGAATAAGTACCTACAAGTGCTTCTTCTGATTAGAAGAATATTTAGAGAAAAAACATTCAAAATGACTTCCTCGTAAAATTTTTCAAAAAAAAAAAAAAAATAGAAATCATAACAATTGAATGTTTACGCTTATCAATTGTGTGTAACACAAATAAATTGGCTCTTGTTCCAGTCCAGTCAATACAATTGGGCTACGGCGTCCATGCATTAAAGAGAGTCATACACGTGCAAAGCACATTTTGACACGTGCAAAGCACATTTTGACACGTGCAAAGCACATTTTGACACGTGCAAAGCACATTTTGACACGTGCAAAGCACATTTTGACACGTGCAAAGCACATTTTGACACGTGCAAAGCACATTTTGACACGTGCAAAGCACATTTTGACACGTGCAAAGCACATTTTGACACGTGCAAAGCACATTTTGACACGTGCAAAGCACATTTTGACACGTGCAAAGCACATTTTGACACGTGCAAAGCACATTTTGACACGTGCAATGCAAAAGATAGCACGAAATTGTCTTTTTTGATTTTCTATTTTAATTAATAATAATATCGTCTTTGATTGAGGTCTACAAATGTGGAGACTCGACGCTGTGAGATCAGTGAATGGCCAAGTTCATTGAACCTAGAAACTGTCTGTATACATTGAATGCTTAACTCTGAAAAGTGTGTTATCCGTTGCAAATTTAAAATTACATATTCTTAACATCAATTTAGATAATGATATTAGTAACATTAAATTACAGATTCAGTCAAATATAAGAAAATTATGGTTCATTTAATAGAACATATGATATGTTCATACTTAAATTGATATTTAACATAACTGGTACTAGATATCATTATTCTATCAAGAAGTGCATTTGAAAGTAACCTCGTCTAGGGACAGATTAATTTGATTAGCATTCAAAAGAAGATATTCAAGAAATTAACAAAATATATCTTTTGTTAAATTTCGCACATCAATAAATTGCTTATTCTTATATGTAACATTTTCTACAACATGTCACAATTTAAAATATATTTTTAAGTTGGTGATGAAATATAAAACTAGGCATTTGTTTTAATTATTTCATTGATCTTAATATAATTTGTCTTCCTAATATTTATTTTGTCAATTGGTGTTTATGTCCTTATACTGTCGTAGAGCGCCTTTTTTTTTTTTTTTTT